CCCCGTGCGGGTGCGGCTTGGTGTCGCCAGGGCCAGAGGAGCCTCCATGGCCCGGGGGCGGAGCCCGATCCCTGGGGAGGGGGCAGGCGCTCCAGCCTGAGCCTCTCCCCTCCCCCAGCAAGCCCTATTGCAGCGTCCCAGCCAGTGCTCTGGAGGCCCAGAGCAGGGCTCTAGGTCGAGCTGCTTCCCTCAACTAATGTGATGGTGCAATTGCGCTGGCACTTTCACAGAATCACAGAATACTAGGACTGGAAGGGACCTCGAGAGGTCATCGAGTCCAGCCCCCCGCCCTCAAGGCAGGACCCAGTACTGTCTAGAGCATCCCTGATAGACATTTATCTAACCTACTCTTAAATATCTCCACAGATGGAGATTCCACAACCTCCCTGGGCAATTTATTCCAGTGTTTAACCTCCCTGACATAAACTTTTTCCTAATGTCCATCCTAAACCTCCCTTGCTGCAGTTTAAGCCCCGTTACATAAAACCTTTCCATGTAAAAAAAATGGTGTGGAGGAAAGCTTGAAAAGGTGAGACAAACGCAGTATGTGAGAAACCAAGAAAAAGATCCCACATTTTACTTGTTTTTAAAAAAAAATCTTGCGATGTTTTTAATACCTGGCTTTGGCAATACTGAGGTTCAGTTGTTGTGGAGGGGACCTTTTTATGGAGAGTGGAGAGGCTGAGAAAATTAGTACATTTATTCTAAATAGGGTCGCCAGATGGTTGAAACAAAAATACCGAACACCCTCCCCCCCCCCCCAAAAAACAGAGAAAAAATTCTGTTGAAGGAAAAAAAGGGGTGGGGGGGAGACCAAAGTTCTTGAACAAACAAAAAAAAGACTCCGAGACCATTTTGTGCTGGGAGCCTTGCAGAACCAGGTAAACATGGGGGCTGGGATCAGGCGGCTGGGGGTGTTGGGAGCCAGGAGGGCAATCGAGCAGGGGGAAAGCAAATTGCTTCTCAGTTTAAATCTCTGGGGGTATGTCTGCACTACAGCGCTAATTCGAACTAACTTAATTCGAAATAGTTAATTCGAATTAGTTAATTCGAACTAAGCTAATTCAAATTAGCGCAGCTAGACTTAAAAACTAGTTCGAATTAGCGTTTTGCTAATTCGAACTAGCATGTCCACACAGAGTGTCCACACGTCCGTTAGTTCGAATTAACTTTGTTGTGTAGACATACCCTGTGTTAATCATAGGATCACCGCTAGGGTTACCAGGTAGTCATAAAAAAAAAAAAATACCGAGAAAGGACCGGCCGGGAGGGGAGCAGTGATGGCCGGGAAGAGAGTGGGGGGGCCGGGGAAGAGATTCGAACTAGCATGTCCACACAGAGTGTCCACACGTCCGTTAGTTCGAATTAACTTTGTTGTGTAGACATACCCTGTGTTAATCATAGGATCACCGCTAGGGTTACCAGGTAGTCATAAAAAAAAAAAAATACCGAGAAAGGACCGGCCGGGAGGGGAGCAGTGATGGCCGGGAAGAGAGTGGGGGGGCCGGGGAAGAGAGCTAAC